AGAATAATAAAAGCTGAACATTAAAAAAGTATCATTAACAAATATGAAAAATTAAAATTAAAAGATTCCAAACCAAGTTATGTCACGACGTTTCGTCTTCGGGTGATAACAGTTATCATATGTTTTATTTAGAGATTCTATAATATTCAAGCTATTCAATTGTTTACACTACCTATTATATTTTTTCAAATGTGAATCTATTTCTGAGCAATCGTTATTTCCAGTTTCAATTTCACTAAGATAAATCAACCACGCTGCAAAACTGATGAAACTCGCAGGGAGCTTGAATGAAAAAATAAATATTTTTAATTACAATGGTTGAAATTGGACAATCGGGAATAAATAACAATTTCTGGGAAACGAACGGAATGCTAAGACTCAGCTAAAGCAATCTGGAGCGTGACTGGCAGTCTAAACGACTGGAAATACAATTACCAATGACTCGTGTACTCTGAAAACCAACCACAAAGACTCGAATCGTGATCTCAAGTTTGAGAAAAAACACGTTGTGTTTCAGTTTCTTACATAATAATGCGGAAGATAGTTGTGTATTTCAATTTTTCAAACCGTCGATATGTCATTTATACTGCGAATTATTTTTCAGATACGTGAAAGAAGATACATACTTTTTCATAGAAATGATACATTTTCTCAAAATAGAAAATAGTATTTGACAAAAATTTGACTGTTACAGCAAGAATAATAGACTACCTATACGAAATGTCGATGAAATCGATTATTAAAAGCACATCCAAGTATATACTTTCAGTGTATTTCGTTGCGAAATTACTGGGTCCAATGTAATTGTTAGAGTTGGATTACTTAGTAAAAGTATCTGTTTTCAGTCTAAGACCTGATTAGATATATTATTAGTTGATGGCAGAATGCTTATGGAACGTACATTTTAGAAGTGGTGGGTTATTTTCTTCTCTACCACTGATTCTGAATGTTTCAATGTTTTCTATCAGCACGGAAGGCACGTTAGATTTTTTAATATTTCATTTTTTCATATCGCTCCTCATGTGTATATTCAGATTCAAATTTATTGCAGATATTTTGACTTATTTATACCATAATTTGCAGTACAAAGCAGAATCATTTAGGTTCTCAAAAAGCCTGTCCATGGCAGTTTACATTGTCAAATAATTACTTAAAATATACACAATACCAGAAATTGGTAAAAATTTCCTTCATTTAGTTGTGAAACCCTGGATATTTTGACAATTTTGAATGCCCGGCATAATTCTGATGTGAGTTTATGGAACACACCCAACACCAGAAATGAACCAATCTCGAGAAATTCATTAATTCACTGAAAAAAAACTAGGTATTCGGCTGTCGAGTGATTCTCTCATAAAATTCAATAGTTTGATAGATCTCATTATTGAGCTATCATTGGTTCATCAAAATAATTCATTCCATCTTCTTGTAGGAGTAACATTTCCAAAATGTAATACAAACTATTCGGAATGGATGACTAATTCTGAAAAACCAAGAAAAGTACTTGGTTTTTCACTTTTTGTCTTCAATCGAGGACCGCCTACCCGGTACTGACGATGCCCAATAGGCTGAAACAGCTATATACCGATGGCTCTTAAATTGAAATCAATATGGGAATGATCAGAAAGTACTTACCTACCTATTTATCCCTTGATTTTCATGGAACTATTTTCCAGCAGCTTGACTGCATTAACCTTTCTCGATTTCATATCATTTCTAGAAACATGTGGATTCGTTTTCCGATGGCATTTCAGGTTAGCTTCCCAAATTTCTGCTACCGCAGTTGTCGGTTGATTGGTCAAACCACCAACACTGACATAAAAACTTGGCAAGCTGACTTGGGTGTCACACCAATAGGTGGTTCCACTTATGTTTCGCTTGCGTTTACGCAGCTATTTTTATCAAGTACTTTCTTGGTTTTCCTCATCCAATCAGTTCAGTTAAAAGGGGAAGGAGGCCAGGCTTCAACCTGAATAAAATCAAGATGGATTACGTCATACAATCAGCTAAAAGGGTAGGGGAGCTGGTCTCCAAACCTAGATGAAATGACGATGACATTCTCATTTTGTCTTCAATCGAGGACCGCCTGCCCTGTACTGACGATGCCCAATAGGCTGAAACAGCTGTATACCGGTGGCTCTTGAATTGAAATAGAAATGCACCATGAAAGATTATTAACAACCTCCAAGTAATGTAACTTCAATTTCGAGTAAAATGTAAAACAAACAGGGGGAATACATTTTTTTTTCTGAGCCTTAGATCAAAGCCTTTCCAGTATCAAACATATTTACAAAATACTGAAATAAAATTCGTCCCGAAGATTTTTTTTGTTGAATGTAAATGGACAAACATTTACCCTAATTTATTAATAAAATTCAGCCGAAGACGGATCTCTTAAAAAAATATGGAACATATAAAATAAAGTGTTTTTTCCGAAGGGTCAGATAAACAAAGGCTTGACTTGGGCTTTGCCGAAGATATGGCTCGAGGATTTAGAGTTCGATGAAAAGGCGAGAAGAGTTCTAGCATTATACCGAATATTTTCGTAGAAAATGTAGGTGGAATCAACCGATACAACCGATATCAAAGAGAAAAGCCCCGTCGAATCATCGATTTTTCAAGATTAGTTATAAAGAGGAGTATGAAGTACAAGTAACTCGTATGCAAAGAGAAAAGTTTGTGTGTAGGTACACGCACTCGGGATAGCTCATATGGATTAGAGGTCATATATTCCAGGCGAAACATAACAGTCGTTCTTATTATTAACACAGTAAGATTTTGTAAATATCGATAGTTTTTCAGAATTTCTATGAAAAAACTTCAATTATCAAAAACTATTCACCGTCACAATATTGAGGTATGAAATTTCAGATAGTGAACGATTCGAAAAAGGAGTTAAAAACATAATTCGCATTCCATTCCTGGTCTTCCAGTAGTTTCCATAATAGTTGTGTTGTTAAAAAATTGGAAAAACAGCCGTTCAAAGTTGACTGCCTCAAATAACGGAAAAGTAATTCAACATATAAAAAGTTGAAAAATGATACCAAAGAGTAGAGCAAATGCAAAGAAGACGGAGGTTAAGAGGCAAGAAGGCTCAAGTTGAAAGTTTTTTATTTCTCAACGATGGAATTTTCAAAATAATCTAGTAAACAGATTCCCCTGCTAGGAATCGCACGAGATAATACCTCATTATTTCTTAACTCACTTACGTTTTGATTTTTGAGGGTTTTCGCTCGTTGGGTAGCGACAGCTGGTTAACGCAATAACAGATTCAGTATCGATTTGGATTTTAAAAGTAAGGAAGAAGCCATTGTGAATTGAATCGTTTTTATGTTGTAACCAAAAACAAAAAAGGTAAATCTGAATTTTCTATATTCTATATGGAAAAATTGTTCAGATGTGACAACAACTCAAGATTCAATAATAATAATTATGAATCGCCTTCATCGAAAAATGAAAGGAGTACCAAAAAATAAGTTTCTAGTACTCATTGACGTGGTCTAACTCAGATCTACTCAAACTCGAAAGAAACGCTTGAATGAAGAGAAGAAAAACAAATAACAGTGGATATAAAATTCGATTGTAATTATTCCTTGAAGTATTGATACATGAAATTAATCTATTGCAGAATCTATCCGAAGAGCAAAATTGAGATTGTTAACTATCATAGATATACTTTTTATATTTATATTTGAACCTCCGTATGAAAATTGTGAGCTTTTAGTTTTTTTTTTGTCAGAATCATATAAATATATCCAATCACAGTAGTTGAAGTGACTAATCACTGAACTATCACAGAGGCACTGGCTCAAAATTAAACGAATGCACAGTTTCAATGACAAATCATATTCACAAGATAGACAATTGATCAAATCGAATTCAACAAGAATGTCCCATAATGAAACCCTGTGGTACCCCATACTGAAAATCTATAGATGAGGAGTAGTAACTAACAACACACATTATTTGGGACCTTCCAAGTAAATATGACCAAATGAGAAATAAGGCAGCACTATCAAAACTTCAGGATTGGTTTACCAATTACAATTTTCCAAAAACGAAATACAAAATTTTGAATTCTGATTGAAATGTTATCTACCTCTAAAACTTGGGTTTTTATACCAATCGACATTCTATACACAGCTTCTTCGGTAGTGAATCAATCGAATTGAAAATGTATCTATTTTGTACGAATTGAGCAAACTAAATTGGGTAATGCATTTTTTGAACGAATCTACCTATTTCTTCTGAAATAAACGAAATGACAAAGGTCTTATTTTCAATCTAAAATGTTCCCAGTAAGGAACGGTCGCTAGAATCAAGAAACGACTAATAGAGCGGTTCGAAGGTTTTTGAATCCTACGTATAATAAACTGCGCATTGCAGATAACCCGAGAAATAATTGATGGAAAACAACATGAAACAGATTGGTAATTAGTTCATTTCACAAACGAATGATGGTATTGATACGTAAATTATCTTCTCTTTGCACAGCATGAATAATTACTGAAAAATACTTCAAAATTCTGAAAATACGTTAATTTATATATGAACTTATTTGGCCTCCTCATTTGTAAGACACGGTAGCTTATAGTGTTGCCAATCACACATTTCAAAATGTAAGGACTGATGTACCAAACATTCACCATTCCTCACCTCTTTTGATATCCAAGTGGAGGTATTGTTTCAATTAGTGACCAGAACAAGAAAACTATTTCCCGACACGCATTTCACCAACCAAGTTAGCTTCATCAAAAGATAACTAAGTCTCAGTCATCACTTTTTAGATATGAAGTTAACACAACAAGACACAGCAAATTTAACAAAAAAACAATTCGGTTCGCAGCTTGTGTGTAAAATCATATCAATCCATAATGTATGTACAATATCTTCATGATATAGAAGTCGATTAAATGATGATTAAAAATGATCATAATAAAGCTTATATAAATGTTGTTCTGAAATTTACCAATTAAATGATTATGATGATACATCAGTGAAGTTTTTACAAAAAAAGTGTAACTTGAACAGTCCCGTGTTTTATCCGATCCAAATTGAAAACTAAGATTATTGATAGTAAACTCCATATTGTTCAACTTGAAAATCGGCAAATTGAAAGTATGTTCGTTATTAAATATGTGTCAGAAAATATTATTCAAAGCGTTTATATTTTCTCTAATAAATAGACAGTTTGCCTCATCAGAGACCTGAATATTTTCGGGTACCCAGAATGAAATAGCATTCTGAATTTTAAATATTCCTCATATGAGTCAAAGAAAAAGTATAGTGTTCTACTCGCAAGAAATGATCATTACTCGCTCGGATGATTCACGACAAACTTCATTCTCGCGAGTAATGACCATGTTGCTCGCTCGATAAATGATATTGTAAAATCTGCAGAAAAATATCTGAGTATTTTCGGCATACCACTTGTCAAAACTGTATTGTCAAAGATCTTACTATTTTTATGAGACGTTGTCAGAGATCACCACTTGCACCATATTGCACGTTTTAACATAAGGTGAAAATTATTATGTGGTATAAACTACCAAGAACTCCCTTTAATTCCATTTGGTAATATGCTCAAAATTATTTGTTGAGAAGGAGTCGAATATATTAGCAAATCAAAGTATTCACATCATGGCAGCCTGCATCATTTGTATTCTTAAAAACTGAAACCAACTCAAAAGAATTTTTCATTAGTTTTAACCCTCCAAATATCATTAATTCAGCAGATAAATGTTTTACTGTTGAACTAATTGTGACATACCCTTCAAGTATCATGAAGTAAACAGTTGAATAATTTTCGATCAATATTTTATTTCTTAATAATCCATTATTGTCTATCATTCAAAAATCCGAAGTCATAAATGGCCTAAAATAAACAATAACCTTCATCACATTTTTACAATCCATTAGAAGTTGCAACGACAAAATGCGAAAAGTTTTTGGAAATTCATTCAAATAAATCAGATATAGACAGAAAACGAAATCGATATTGTTGTTTTCTGCATTTTCTGCGTTCATCAATGGCTTTATCTCTATTTCAAAATTATCAACAAACACAATCGACGCTAACGAATATACACAATTGTATTGATTAATTTTCATTGTTATTGCAAACTCTGATTAGTATCGGTACTGGCATAAAAAAACAAAGCATCCGATAAAATTATGAATCAGCAGATCAAAATCATCTGAAGAAACTTCAATTTACATATTATTGATTATTAGCATATGGAAAAAATGTTCAATCATTTGTATCTATACTTCTCTCTACGATTTTTATAATTAAGTCAATGTCAGATCGAATTCCAACTCACTTGATTGTATGACAAATAATTGAATTTGAAGTGTTATTATATTGATTATTAACGTTTGTTGGATATCAAACTAATAACGAAAACTGTCTGGCGAAGAAGAATAGGAGGGCCGCGCTAAAACGCTTTTCGAAAAATCCATCAAAATTGAATTGGGAAGAGATTACACTTCCGTTTAATCTCTTTCGGAATCGAAATTATATAGGAATTAACCCTTCAAAATTGTTTTTACTTTATATCTGTAATAGAATCGACTGTTTGGTGTACAAGCTGAATGAAGAAAAATAATGTTCGTATAATTCAATATTTACAATTAAATATAGTTGCTTGAGATATATTTTTTGTTTTTTAAAAATACTTCATTTTCAGACAGAAAATGTTTTTCGCTAAATGAATATGTATGGAATTATAGTGAAATTAACATAATTAACACTAAAATAATTATTTGCCACCGAATAATGGGCATGCAATATAGCCTTTTCAGTACCTCAATCAGTCAAAATCCAGATGACCCCAACTTGGTTGGTGAAATGTGGGTTGGAAAAAGTGTCATAATTCACTTGTATGGGGGAAACATTTGTTCTGGATTCATTTAACGACAGAGGTTATCTCTGTATCAGTAGAGTAGGGAGGGTGAGTGTTAAGCCCACAGCACTCAGGCCACATGTGACCCATTGCACATCCTCCCGAGGAGTTGTCCTCCTAGATCCTAGGTCATCGTCCATCCTGTCCTTTCCAGGAAGGTGGATAGGTCACTTGGAGATATCTCCTTTATATCGGCAGGTGTAAGTCAAGACTCGCCGAAGACACACTCTCTTATTGACGATAACTCCAGGCACTCGCATAGGACATGCCTGCCGTGGCCTTTAATCCACCTCAGGATAATGTTATTATCTACCGAGGCTTTGGCTAAATCTTGGTGAAACTCTAGTACTAGCCCTGAGGTTATACGATGTATGTTCAAGGCTAATAGGGCTTGTCTGCTGTCAGTGCAGATAGAGGTTCCAATTCTATATTTGAGTAGAGGTTATTCAGGTGAAGTATGTACTATCTTATCCAGTATCATTTTGGATCGATCCAGCCAGCAGTTATTCATTTCCCCTTTTCAAGCAGATTTCACCACCATAAAGAAAAATTGGTGTATGTTGAAAAAAAATGTTATGAACTGTTCAATGTTACTGAATATATTAACTAACACCAATTTTCATATTGTTATAGTTATTCAACTAGAAATAGAAACGAAACTAATTCGCCAAAAAGCTTTTTTGATGATATCACAAATTGTCCTTTAAAGACGATACACGGGAATCTGAAATTGGAAAAATAATAGTTGCTGAAAAGTCACCTCCCTGCAGTAAAGGGTCGAATGAGTCAGTCACTTTGGATCTAATTACCGAGAAGGTTGAATGGATTTGAAGTGGTCCTTTTATAATTTCAAAAATATCAGCTAGCTAAAAATAAGATACTTTCAAATACGAACAGAATAAAATTGATCTATGTGTTAGCTCTAATGTCATTGCCTAATTTAATCATCTGCAGACAAATGATAATGTCTTTCACTTTATAGAATGAACTGTAATCCTTGGGAGATTGTTGTTCTGATTATTGGAGTCCTTGATGGAATGATTCCCTTTCTACTCTGGAACCTCAAGATCATGTCGGCTTGCCGTACGATGGTAGAATTATTGGCCGGAAAATTACAGAAGGCTGTCATTCTCGGCCGAGAATCAAGTTTTGTCTATGGGTTCTGGAAAAGTTCAGTGAGAATGAACATTTTTTTGGTTTCATTTCATTTTCTGATGAATCTATATTCAAAGGTTCACATCTCGAAAACTGTACAATCCTGAACTTTGGCTGTGGACACTTTCAATCAGCACATCAAGAACTACAACATATCAAAATTTCGGCAAAATTCAAGTCAAGCCATTTCTCAATGTGCGGGGTCCTTCATCAAAATATTGAAGAAACATTTTACCATCCGAAACAAAATTAATCTCCATACTCATTGCAACACCGAAACAACTGTTAATCTTTAAGGAAAAAATCGCACTCGGTGAACAGGTATAATTTAGATTATTTTACCTACTTGCTGAATTGTTGTTCTTTGAATCACCGTTGTTCCTGTTGTTTCTGCCGTGTTTTTGTTCTCATTGTGTTTATTGTTCCTGTATTTGTGTTGGATATTGTTCCTGTGTTCCAGTTGTTTTCTGTTCGTGAGTTCCTGTTCATATTTTAATATTTTTGAAGTTCCCATTTTAACTGATATCAACTCATTTTGATTGGAAAGTTCAACATAGCACCTCTGTCACTTCAAGCAAAAATTGAAATTGTTTTGATTGTTGGTGAAGGGGTGAGGTCTTATCGTGAAGCGGTCGCTGAATTTAATAGAAGACACCCGCTAGAGGTAGCTATACACCCAGCTATATAATCTATTCGTGAGCACCGGCCAAGTACCAAAGGACAGAAAAATTGTAAAACATCATATTGATGATGATACGATATTGGTGGCTCATCAAGCTGATCCTAGAATCAGTTTGAGGAACTTATCGCTTCAACTCAATATGAGCCGCAGTAAAATATGGAGGTGTTTAAAGAGGCATAAAATGAATGCGTTCAAACGCAAATTTTTACATACTTTGCACGAAGGAGATGAAATGCTCCATATGGAGTATTGTTTATGGATGCAGGAAAATTATCCCAATGACAGGAATTTTTTAAAGTATATCTTGTACAGTGATGAGGCTACCTTTATCACGAATGGTGTTATATCTTCCCAGAACATGAGGTTTTGGGCTGATCAAAATTTAAACGGACGACTATTCGTTGATTTTCTCGAAAATGCATTTTCCGATGTGTCGGAAGAACTACCTTTGGATGTGAGACACAGCATGATTTTTCAGTTAGATGGTTTACCAGTTCACAATAGTGGCATAACAAGGGTTTGGTTGAATAGGAATCTACCTATGAAATGGATAGGACCCAATAAACTGGGACTCTTTCATTTCATATTATTCTTTCAATTCAAATGGCCAATCAATCCAATAATGATAGATGAATAATTCGATCATGTTTCTCAGAATGAAAAAAATGTATATTCAAATTCAAGTGAATATTTGATTCTACTAAACTACTGACACCAATAATAAACTAAAACATTTACCTAAATAATATTTTTTCAAGTGGAACAAATATTCATATTGAAATCAAAATAGTAGTAGGATTTATTCGCCATATCCATAATTGATTCAATAATTTTTTTGTGCAGGTTTACCGATATATATTCATTTTGATCCATTACACAGATCACTGTAACACTCTGTGGACGCTGCCTAGCCTTCAACTGTTTGTTCTTTGTTATGCGTTGAGCGATATAATCCACCATATGCATAATAAATTACACCGTTTACTTTTCTGGTGAAATACCAAGTTTTGAGTCATCAAAAAGACCGAATCCAAATCAACATTTTGTTTTCTAGGTGTGAAATTGCAGGAGTCATTTTTTTTCAGTCAACTGTGCGGAGTGAAAGCACCTTTATAAATCACAATCAGATCTGTCGATTTCCTCCGCGAACAGAGGAATGCCTCGAGCTTTGAAAACGCCACCGCCGAAGTATCCGTTTTCTAATCGCATCCGCCTCGTTGGACGACCGACAAAAGGAGCGCTTTATTGTTCGATTGTCAATGTTGCCACCATGGCAAAAAACTATGTTCCATATCCAGATCTCTGTGGCCTGTGCTTCATATTCCTATATGATTTAAGACACAAAATGAATTTCTCTTCCCTGATATCAAATCTCAAAGGAATATTATGGCACTAATGATATGCACATCTTTGTCATTTCCGTTTATAGGTAATGAAAAAATGGTTTATTGACAATCTTTTTTAATTTAGTAGACATAATTGATTTTACTTTTCAATTCGCTGAATGTGATAGGTAGAAGTGGAACTTCTTGCATAAAATAAGACTAACGAACACACTCTTTCCACGACAAAAGTTTTATACCAGAGTTTCTCGACGCGAGTTTCGCCAAACAACACAATCAGGAGATTTGACGAGTAGAATTTGGAACCTCTGGCGAAAAATGAATCTAGTGAAAACACTCCCGACTTGCGAAATGCACGCCTCCCAACGTGCATTTTGCTAACCAAATTGGCAGCATCAAGGTCTGACACCTCCTGATGCTTTTTAGTGCGTCGAGAGCACAGAATACTGATTGTAAACAATAGAAAAGTAACACACGCTTTCCCGCCAAGATGTAAATATTAGGGAAACATCCGACAGGGGGTGCTGATGAGTGTAATTATATTCTCAGGTACCTAGAGATGGTAGCACTGAAAGACTAATTATCTGGGTAAATATATTTCTGTCATTACTCATTTTATTTTCAGTACATGTTAATCACAAGTTATANTCAAAAATGTTAGTAAAAGCTGTTTTTTTAAATACAAACAATTCATAAGTAAAATTTCAATTACATCTATTATGAGAGGGAACTTTCATATGATGTTGACTTTATGTGCATACATTTAAAATTTTACTATTCAAATTGGAGCGAACTTTTAAAAAGCTCACCCTCAAATACTCGGGATTACAGTTTTCTTTATGTAGTTCGGGTAACATCCGCTACGGACCTGTGGAGCATTAGTATTTTGTATCTACAAGTATACAGTTGCCTATCTAAACTTGTTTCTGTAGTCTGTGGTCGAGAGACATTATTTTGGTTCCGATGAGGCATACGTGTTTTCAGTAGAATCATCAGATCACTAATGTTTTAGATTATGTCTGATTAGAATTATGTTATGTTAGGTGATAGATCCATTGACAATCGAGATAATACAAAACATTTAATACATACTCAAGATAATAGGTAACTGTAATTCAAACCCTTAATAGGCTGTGGTTTTGACTATTTTGATTTTTCAAATTGCCGATATTTGCACGGATGTCTGTCGAATAAATATCAATACCTTTCTTCTAACAGGCATTTGTCCAATGTCTGCTCTTTGTAAAAAAGATGGAAGACGAGCTCTAAATTACAAGTCAACCAATAGAATTATCTCATGACAGTAATTTATTATTTTATATTGATAGAAAATAGACTAAATATCAAATTTCAGCTCAGATATATTTAGACCATTTAGAGGGCGACGGTTGTGAAAACTCATTTCGTTCACTTTGCGAGCATAGATTTTCATGAAAGCTTAGTTAGTTGATTCTGCGATACTTAATGTGCATTTATAGCCAACCAAAGGTAGTCATGATGTCGTAAGGTGGTGTTACTTTCTCCGAAGGGGTAACAGTGCCTCATTTAATAAAAAGATTACGTGATTTCTATCCTGGTGAAATCATAATTTAAAAAAATTATGTATTTGGCTGATACATGATGAAAATCCATAAGTACCGTATCGCTGATTGTCCTGAAATCCCGCCACTGTATGTCCCAAGTAGAGTGACTACTTGGGACATGTACCGTACCATTATGGTTATTATTCACCAATCTAATGTAATTTGAAGTCTGATGAAATTATTTTATTTCAACAATCTGAATTAATTCAAAACTCAAGTAACTCAAGTGAATAATTGAATGAAGAAATGCACTTTTTCCAACAAAAGAAATGAACGTTGCCTATTCTAGTTTCTCTGCAAGCAAATGAGGTGATTTTTATTTGATGAAAATCTACTTCTCTCAGGTTTCCTGATGTACAGAAATTACACTGAAATAAATCTGTAACTTGTTCGCTATTCAAAAGAAGTTCGATCTCAGACAACAAGAAATACAATAGTAGATTATTTTGACAAACTTGTGAAGTGTTGAAGGTTTTCTCTCTGAACATTTATCCATTTAATATTGCAACTATACCTAACAAACTTCAAATTGTTAAAGCCTATAGGCAAAATAGCCTCAAATGAGGGGTAACTTGGCTCCAAAAAAAAAAATAAAAAAAAAATTATTACCTTCGACATGTACTTTTTGTCATTTGATCTTGAATGACTGAGAGTTATATAATGTTGAGGGTGAGTTGCAAATTCATAGACTTTGTAAAAAAATAATTATGAATCAAAATTTTTTTAAATTATTGTAAAGTAATCTCACTTCACGGTAGACAACCATTAGACGTGCTTAAATAAATTCACTTGACTTAACTGTACAATAAACTCCCCTCCATAAACCAACAATACTTCAAATCTTCCAATCACTTGATAACATCCAATGAAGAAATCGACCAAACTAATTTTGGATATAAACTTTGCTTTCTAACAGAAAAGAATCGCCCTATTCAAAACAAATAAAAGTTCTTGGCAGTGAAGCGGCAAATATTTACTTGGACCGTCAACGGCAAGTAGGTACTCGAAATCAATATCTCCAACATTGATTATGACTAAATGGGTATCACGTTCAATTGTTTACTACCCATTGAAATGGTTCGTGATCTTTTCCAATTTCAATTGGTCGATGCATAAAAACTGCCCTTGAGAACTAGAAACTAATAGTTATTTGTTTAACAAATATTATGGGACATTTTGAAAAGTTGCCAAACAATATGAAGCGGAATTCGACAATCCTACAAGTCTCGATATTAATTCAACACAGTGTTTCTTGTCCAGCAGCCGTAAATTTTAAGTTTTGTTAAAAAAGTAATTTTATATCTGTTCAGATATAATTTTGCTATTTTATTTTGAAAATTAACTTGATATCACAAGTTGTGTACAATTGTTGAACTATATAGGATAAGCATGTAGCTTAATCATTTTTTACAACTGTATTAGTTTGGAAAATTGTGTGTTTAGCTACTATGTAGTTTTCAGCTACAATAGACAACTGCCAC